TTGATAAAACTTTGTTTGTTTATTTTATTTCAGTCTATAATTTTCCAAGCGAATACAAATTATTAAAAGTGAAATAAATGTAAAACTTAACTCGTCTGCGACGTTAAAATAGCGTACCTGATTTTGATTGTTATGCACGTGCTGTTTGACGCTACATTGTGACGTCACGTAAACAACACTTTAAACGTCTGTACAGCGATAATGACTGAATTAAAGATATTGGTGTTCGGATTTATTTTCTTAGTTAGACCATTTTCTATCATTTTAGATAGTTTTCACAACAAAATTCGACAAAAAATTGTTTTTATTTATCAGATTTTTCAAACAAAATGGCGCCCTCAATGTGAAAATACACAGGGAGATAATAAGAACGGCGAGTGCATTGTTGCAGAATAATGCACGCTTCGGGCCTTCTTTGTTTATATAGAAAAATTTCCGATAGTGTTAGAATGTTACATTTGTTATTTCAGTACTGTGTTTTACATAACAACAATTGGTATTTACCTTCTTTTGACATTTTGCTGATAACATTGCGCTGTTCCTGCAAAACATTTTCCATCGTTTCAATCTTTTGCTCGAGCTTCAGGACTGTTTTAAGAATGTCATAGTACGGGTTACACGTAGGCTCCATAGAATGTACAGAAGGTGGCATATTTCCCAAGAACAATACAATCCTGATCAACATTGTCGTTTTTATGCAAATGTACAGATACTTTTTAAAACGACTGCTTATATAAAGAGAAGCTTTAACTTCCGCGTTCTTAAGTTGACATACTCTATTGTTACTCATTATTGTAGGATTGTCGATCATGTTAAGGCAGTTAAAGTGTTAAAAGGAAATTAATAAAGAATTTTGTTTTAACAAACGTAGCCTTCTTTTAACGGTGTCAATATAACGCTGAACCTGCATTCCATTATGGAAGCCTTGGAGGGTCACTTTTCCATAATACTTTAAATACTGTTTAAAATCAAACTGATACACAGATACAAGTACATTTTTTTTATAAAATGTTTCTTTGAAAGTCACATATGGACAAATTAACGATCCGTAGTGTCGCGTTCCTTGTTGATGTCATAACGTTTACGTGCATGCCTCCAGATGAGCGAACATATTTCAAGAAAATTAAGCTTGAGAAATGTACTGATATTTTAAGAATGGTATAACAAAATTTAAGGAAAAAATAATGTCCACGATATGTGCGATTTATGACTGATTTTACAGTATTTTCACCCTATTTCTACTGCGTTAAGGGGCTATTTTTTGACATTTTAACCACTTTTGGGTAATAAAGATGGGTTGTAAATGCCGTTTGCAATGTGTTAATTATTTTCTCCGTTCACTTCACAATATTTTACCTTTTTATACATTTTCAAAATTATCATAAAAATTAACAGGAATCTGGAGACTTTATGTGTTTACAGGCAATACAAATGATAGTTTAATAAATTCTCTTTACTAACTCAAAAAAAACCTAAGAACCTGTTTTACCAGTTTGGTAAAGAGGATTGATAATATCAATGTCACACATTCTGTTTAAAGATATAATGTTCTTGTGCATAAATGTCATTAGTGAATTTGTATTTACACAATCATCATTCACAGGGGCCTCAGAGTGAAGAAGGAAAATAAGGAGACCACATTGATATACATAGTTGTTTCGGACATGGCCTTGATTATTTAGCCATTGCTATTTCTTCTGGTAAGGGCAGATAAATCGAGACAAAAATAGAAATGGTTGAAAATGTACTGAGCCTGTTCACGCCCCCACACCCAACACCCTCCTTCCTACTCTCCATCACCGACCTAAGTGGTATTCAAACCTCAACACCAAAAGTGTTGAAATCGACGGTCCTGAAAGACCAAAAAATAATTAAAGACATTGAGATGAACTATGGGTCATGTTTTTACAACTGTCATACAACGCTTAACACCTGCTGGAGCGAAAGTAATTAGGTTTAAATATATTTTATTCCAGAGCATACACACTACATAACATACAAACGTACACCGTGGAAATGGATTAGAACAAAACATATGCATGTAAAAATTCCCAATCTATATTCATAATATCGCATTATTCAAATTCATATAATATCTGTTTAGCTTATTTAAATTGTATCTCTGAATTTAACATAAAAAACAACTCATAAAACAACTGATATAAATCTTGAAAAATGGTAAATAAATAGGGCGGTGGCCTAGTAGTTAAGGAGTCTGTCTCTCAACCCAGGAATCATGGGTTCGAGCCTTTCTCTGATCACGGCCATGTTTCTTCATATGAAACTCGTACTGATTGGTTCAAGGAAGAAGAACTAGAAAGTGATTATATAAGCTGCATAAACATGTTTCGCAATCGAGCATGACAACTATATAAAACTGTGTTTTATGTTTCCATAATGAGCTTATGAGTAAGTTATAACCAGTGAAAAATATAAAGATAATGTAAGGGCGATAATAAAGGTGGAGAAAAATCCATTTTGATTTCATTTGTTACACCCCTTTTACGTTTTTCGTCTCAATGTTGAGATATGTCATCAGCTTATTTTTATTTTTTTACAACATTTAATATACGATGGATTTTATTCAATATTATTTTTTATTTCACACCTTAAAAAAATAAAACCAATAAACTTTCAGCGTTTGAACTACGTGATGTTCCAATTTACATGTAATTGGATCAAGTCTCGTTTTCTTACATTTACAAGGCCCAGAAAAGTGATATAAAATGCATATTTATCGTATCCCATACAGCCTAGTTTTCATTGACCCAAAAATCTTTATCAATTGCTTATCATTATCCACCTAGCCTCGTTTTCTTTCATTCAAGAGCACAAATATCCATATCAATTCCTTATTGTACTCGAAGTAGTAAAGTTATGTCGAAATGCCAAAAAAGTGGTGTTGCGAAATAAAAGGGGTCATTACACTGTTGAAACTAATACTAGTACGAGTCGCATAGTTTAGTTTCAACTGTTTAGCACCACTGTTTATACGAATGATTTTAGGAAGACTTCATTTTTTTTAACATAATACTACGAAATTATAAAGCAAGATGAAGGAAGGGCGGCGGTTTAACACAGGTACCTAAGTGTACCTACATGTTCACATTTTATAAAACCTACGTCGCAGAAAGAACCCCGATCAAAACAAGAAGAGGCTATAGTTCAAGAATAGCAACAACAACAACAACAACAACAAAATCATCATAATCTACAACAACACCATCACAATTACAGCCACCACCATCACCACCAAGGCAAAAACAACAGAAAAAAAAACCGCCGCAAATATCATAGTTTTCCCCTGTTTGTAGAGGTCATCAAACCTCGTAGGCCTCTCTTGACTGTAAATATCATTTCTCTGCTGACCAATTTTAGTGTAATTCAATATTTTCTGACGTAATATTTCCTGATATGTAGAACATTTACATGACATTATCATATGACATGAACTCGTCAAACATGACCTAATTTTGATGTTTGATCTGACCTTTCGTACTTCGTTATTGACAACCCTTTTTCTAAGAGAATGTTTCATTTAGGACAAACACATTACTGTCACAATAAAAATAAATATATTAGATATTGTAAGAAATTAAGCTTAAGCACATAAGAAGTAGTATTTCGGCATACGGGGTTTTGTCTTTGCATCTGAAATAGAAGAATCCTGAATATTTATGTAAAACCTGTCAGGTATTCAAATATCTTAGATTGGTTATTCTAATTGTGCTGAAGAATATTCTTGTATATCATCATTCAACTTTCTTAAGGGCCCCTTTTGCCCCAGAAATGCTTTTATTTTATTTCTGATTATGTTTTTTTTTATATTTTGCGTTCTTTTATAGTTTCAGAAAAAGATACTCATTGACCAATTACCTAAACCATCTTTTTTATTATTGCTTTTTTCAATACGTACAGCTGATTTAGTATGGAAGTGAAAATACTACTTTTTTAAAATTTATTACTTTTGAGATACATTTTTTTTTAAAATTATTTTACATTTAGTGCTACTTTTTATGTAACAAGCATCTTACATACTCTAATACCATTATTTAAACGTTATAATACTTTTATAAGTTAAGCATTCTAAGGGAGTAAATATTTATTCGTTTCTGAGGCATTATATGCCTTTAAGTCATTCGTGTTAGAGTAACATACATTTGGCTACGATATGATTATCATACAATTTTTTTTCTAAATTGTATGTTCCTCAATAGTTTTCAAACATTCAGTTCTAAAGATTAAGTAAAACACATTCCTAAACTCCCCTAATCATTTGTTGATTTGTATGATACAATGTTTATCTAAATTATATCAATTTAGATTGTTAAACAACGCTTTTCAACCGTTCTCCGACCCGTTATTTTATCATCAGTTTCCATTCACCAAAACTTCCAATGTGTGCTTTGATTGGTTTTGGCACAAGAGGAAGATTATTTTCTATCAGTAATTCAGTCAATTCATTTTTGTAATCATTATTTGCTTTAGCGGCAATTTTCATAAACTGGTAATATAATTGTAGACACCACTTGTTAAAAGATTGATATGGTCCTGTGGCAGTGGCACACGTAGATATGTTAAGAGAGAACTGTTGTTTTTTGTTTTATAAAATATTATAATACTGCACGTTTGTAACGTCGCTTTTCATTGGATAATCGTGACGTTTATATAGTTTTATATACACGGCTGCTGTCGATTCATGAAGAAATCTTACTTTTTTCTCTAAAAATGATGCTTGCTGTATTATAAATTCGTTATAAAGATTGTTGACAGGTTATATGGCCGTATATAAACGGCTATTTGCAATATAACCCTCGCCTAGCGGCTCGGGTTATATTTACAAACAGCCGTTTATATAGGGCCATATAACCTGTCAACAATCTTTATAACTAATATTATAAATGGGATGTTATTCTGTTTACTTGCTTTAGTAGGTATCTATAAAAATGCTTCATAATGGTTATGTTTAATGGCTTAGGTAGATAACTGTTAATATGCTTCATAATGACTATGTTTAATTGTTTAAGTTCATAATGGCTATATTTACTTGCTTAAGTAGATATCTGCAGAAATGCATCATGATGGATATGCTTACTTGCTTAAGTAGATATCTTTAGAAATGCTTCATAATGGCTATATGTACTTGCTTGAGTATATATCTGTAGAAATGCTTCATAATGGCTATGTGTACTTGCTTAAGTAGATATCTGCAGAAATGCTTCATAATGGCTATGTTTACTTGCTTAAGTAGATATCTGTAGAAATGCTTCATAATGACAAAGATTTAATATACTAACGTTTACGTGTAAACATAACAAGGAAAGCGTTTGTCAAACTGTTGAAACAGGTTCACTAAATATTATGAATGGTATTTTGTATGACAGTATATTTTCGTTTTACTTGATAACAGTGGAAGAATGGAAGAATAACAACATTAAAGCAGCATGCCTCCAGATTCATGTGAATGTTCATGAAACTGTTAGAAACGTATTTAAAAGTAAAATATTGTGAGGTGAACAAATAAACCAATTAACATATTGCAATCGGCACTTACAATCTAAGAAAATTATATAAATAACACATGGGTTTGTGGGTAACAGTAAAAATATCATCCCGGGGTATAATATTTTTACGAGGGATGATATTTTTGGGGGGCATTTAGATTTACCCTTGTCCGTCCGTCTGTCCATCCATCCTTCCGTCCATCCGTTCTCTTTTTGTGTCGCACGTAGCTCAAAAAGTAATTGACCTAGAGTCATGAAACCTTACAGGAATGTTTATCAGTATGTGAAATTGTGCACCTGGGTATTTGTATGTGGATATATGTAGTATTTTTAGAGTTATTACCCTTTACTTTGTAAAAATTTCCAATTTTCAACTTGTGTCGCACGTAACTAGAAAAGTGTTTCACCTAGAGTCATGAAATCTTACAAGAATGTTGCTCAGCATGTGAAGTTGTGCACCTGAGTATTTTCGTGTGGATTATTGCCCTTGAATTAGTAAAAATTTGCAATTTTCAACTTGTGTCGCACGTAACACAAAAAATATTTGACATAGAGTCATGAAACCTTACATGAATGTTTATCAGCATGTTTAGTTGTGCACCTGGGTATTTTCTTGTGGATATTTTTTTTATTATTTTTAGAGTTATTGTCCTTGACTTTGTAAAAATTTACAATTTTCAACTTGTGTCGCATGTAACTCAAAAAGTATTAGACCGAGAGTCATTAAACCTTACAGGAATGTTGATCAGCATGTGTAGTTTAACACAATATTCAACTTGTGTTGCACGTAACTCAAAAAGTTTTTGACCTGTAGGCCTGAAAGTTTAAAAAGAATGTTGGTCAGCATGTGTACTTATACACCTTCGGGTTTTCTTGTGGATTTATTCAGTATTTGTAGTATTTGCACTTTACTTAATAAAAGATTTTTAGTTTTCAACTTAGGCACATGTAGCCAAAATATATTTGACCTAGAGACATAAGATTGACAAATCGTGTGGGGGCACCCATGTCCTATGGATACATTTCTAGTTACTGTTACTCACATACCCATGTGTTATCTATTTTATGACCCCGAACAAAAATTCTGTGATGATCTGAAGTTGTCAACCAAATCTAACTGTAACAAGATATGTTTGTGAAACATGTATGCCCCCTATCAGCAGCCAATTAGTCATGTGATAAGGTTATTATGCATGACTTCTGACCCAGTGATCAAACAATTAATAAGGGTTATAAAGTATCTACTGGTCATGACCTTGACCTTTGACCCCTTGACCCAAAACTCAATAGGGGTCATCTGCTGGTCACGACCAATCATCACACAAAGTTTGAAGTTCCTAAGCCTAGGCGTTTTTAGTAAATTGATCAGAAACCGTTTTTACCTACAAGGTCAATGTGACCTTGACCTTAGACCCATTGACCCCAAAATCAACAGGGGTCATCTGCTGGTCATGACCAATCACCATGCCAAGTTTGAAGTTCCTAGGCCTAAGGGTTCTCTTATTATTGATCGGAAACCGTTTTAACATACAAGGTCAATGTGACCTTGACCTTTGACCCCAAAATCAATAGGGGTCATCTGCTGGTCATGACCAATCACCATGCCAAGTTTGAAGTTCCTAGGCCGAAGCGTTCTTTAGTTATTGATCAGAAACCGTTTTTACTTACAAGGTCATTGTGACCTTGACCTTTGACCCCTTGATCCCAAAATCAATAGGAGTAATCTGCTGGTCATGACAAATCACCATACCAAGTTTGAAGTTCCTAGGCCTAAGCAATCTTGAGTTATTGATCAGAAACCGTTTTTACTTACAAGGTCAATGTGACCTTGACCTTTGACCCCTTCACGTAAAACTCAATAGGGGTCATCTGCTGGTCATGACCAATCATCACACAATGTTTGAAGTTCCTAGGCCTAAGCGTTTTTAGTTAATTGATCGGAAACCGTTTTTACCTACAAGGTCAATGTGACCTTGACCTTTGACCCCCTTGACCCCAAAATCTATAGGTCATCTGCTGGTCATGACCAATCACCATACCAAGTTTGAAGTTCCTAGGCATAAGGGTTCTTAAGTTATTGATCGGAAAGCATTTTTACCTACAAGGTCAATGTGACCTTGCCCTTTAACCCCTTAACCCCAAAATCAATAGGGGTCATCTGCTGGTCATGACCAATCACCATACCAAGTTTGAAGTTCTTAGGCCTAATGGTTCTTTAGTTATTGATCGGAAACCGTTTTTATCTAAGAGGTCAATGTGACCTTGAACTTTGACCCCTTGACCCCAAAATCAATAGGGGTCATCTACTGATCATGACCAATCACTATACCAAGTTTGAAGTCCCTAGGCCGAAGGGTTCTTTCATTATTGATCGGAAATCGTTTTTACCTACAAGGTCAATGTGACTTTGACCTTTGATCCCTTGACCCCAAAATTAATAGGGGTCATCTACTGATCATGACCAATCACCATACCAGCTTGAAGTTCCTAGGCCTTAAGGTTCTTTAGTTATTGATCGGAAACCGTTTTTGCTTACAAGGTCAATGTGACCTTGACCTTTGACCCCTTGACCCCAAAATCAATAGGGGTCATCTACTGATCATGACCAATCACCATACCAAGTTTGAAGTCCCTATGCCTTAAGGTTCTTTAGTTATTGATCGGAAACCGTTTTTGCTTACAAGGTCAATATGACCTTGACCTTTGACCCCTTGACCCCAAAATCAATAGGGGTCATCTACTGATCATGACCAATCACCATACCAAGTTTGAAGTTCCTAGGCCTAAAAGTTCTTTAGTTATTGATCGGAAACCGTTTTTGCTTTCAAGGTCAATGTGACCTTGAACTTTGACCCCTTGACCCCAAAATCAATATGGGGTCATCTACTGGTCATGACCAATCACCATACCAAGTTTGAAGTTCCTAGGCCTTAAGGTTCTTTTGTTATTGATCGGAAACCGTTTTTGCTTTCAAGGTCAATGTGACCTTGAACTTTGACCCCTTGACCTTAAAATCAATAGGGGTCATCTACTGGTCATGACCAATCACCATACCAAGTTTGAAGTTCCTAGGCCTTAAGGTTCTTTAGTTATTGATCGGAAACCGTTTTTGCTTTCAAAGTCAATGTGACCTTGACCTTTGACCCCTTGACCCCAAAATCGAAAGGGGTCATCTACTGATCATGACATATCACCATACCAAGTTTGAAGTTCCTAGGCCTTAAGGTTTAGTTATTGATCGGTAACCGTTTTTGCTTACAAGGTCAATATGACCTTGACCTTTGACCCCTTGACCCAAAAATCAATAGGAGTCATGTACTGGTCATGACCAATCACCATACCAAGTTTGAAGCTCCTAGGCCTTAAGGTTCTTTAGTTATTGCTCGGAAACCGTTTTTGCTTTCAAGGTCAATGTGACCTTGGCCTTTGACCCCAATATCAATAGGGGTCATGTACTGGTCATGACCAATCACCATACCAAGTTTGAAGTTCCTAAGCCTTAATGTTCTTTAGTTATTGATCGGAAACCGTTTTTGCTTTCAAGGTCAATGTGACCTTGACCTTTGACCCCTTGACCCCAAAATCAATAGGAGTCATCTACTGGTCATGACCAATCACCATACCAAGTTTGAAGCTCCTAGACCTAAGGGTTCTTTAGTTATCACTCGGAAACCATTTGGTCTACGGACCGACGGACCGAAAAGTGCAAAGCAATATACCCCCTTTTCTTCGAAATGGGGGCATGACAAAAATAAACCAAGTGTAACAATAACTAAACTGTCCTTACCTTTAAAGTTTTAAGTGTACTTTAGGCCTACTTGAGTTTTCTTTTTCTTTTATTCTTTTCTGTTTAAGCAAGCGATGATATCTACTAGTCATAAACATACAATAAGCTGTGTTTTATTTAGAAAACAAAACACTTACCCATTTATACGGTTATGATCTGTGAAATCTTATCCTTCTGTTTCCAGATATTCTTCGCATGTTTTTTGACAAAAGAACGATGATAACCTACGTCTGTCCACCATATCTGTAACGTTTCACTGATTAAATTTGTTAAGTAATCCTTTGTTGCATGCTTAAATCGTCTGCATGTTCCAGTTGGACACATAATTATTTACATTTCAATTACTTCAGTTGAAAACGGATGTTTACTTTTTGACTATTCAACAAAAAGATCTTTTATACGCGAAAAGCACACCAGGGTGCAAACAACTAAATTTTATGGGTGTCATAGTTACTCCAGAGAAGATGTTGATGTTTATCGGGGTTAAACGTCGACAATAGGAATGAATCGAGAAAAACATGGCGGCCCTTTGATTTCACTTTATTTAGAAAATAAACCACGTGACCAGGTTTTATACTGTTAAAAATACTGTTACATCTATGTAACAGCACAACATTCTTAGTCCCGTGGAACACTTGCATTAACAGTGAGAATAACTCCCAGAGGCCTATAGGAAATTAACATTACGAAAAAAGTGAGGGGTGATAATACCAAATAGTGTACAGCCCTTACAGCGTAGTAACGCAGTAGAAATATGGTGATAAGATTCCGCAAAATCAGTCTTAAACCGCACATAACATGTAAAATAAAACTCGAATCTTGACTGTTTTTACTTGTCTTAAAGGTAAGTACATTTTTCTTAATATTGATTTTCTTGAAATATTTTGGCTCATCTGGAGGCGTGCAACTTTTGTAAACAACATAATTAAGTGGAAATAAATTTTCAAGGCCAAATGCAAAATACACATCTGCACATTGGCAGATCCACTTATACTTGCTGATATAAAACAACAAACCCTTGTATTTTTTTTGTTGTTATTGGTAACGAAGCGTTACGTATTTGTTTGTGCTATTTTCTCTCAGAAACATTTTGCAATTCATTTCTGTTTTACAGGGAACACTGTTCATGTTATATTCAATGCAATATTGAAATTATCGGACAGGGATAAAATGTATCACTCCAGTTCGGTTTCGGCAATTTTCATTCTATGTTTAACACTATTGTCTGCCGCGGAGACCCAATTGACTATGGAATTTATTTTTGATGTCCTGTCGCGCAGCTTGGATAACTTAACATTTGAAATACAGTAAGTATCTTCCACCACAACTTCTTATCCGAGTCTGATTTATAATGCTTAAAAATCTTTGATCAGACTTTTTTTTACTATTCATTTACATATTGAAAATAATACCTATTTTTCTTTCAAAAAATAAAATGCTTCAAAATAGATGTACTGTATGTTCTCTTAAATAAATGCATACAATTAAATGGTAATTAGAATATTTTTTATTTTTACGTAAATCTTAAGAAACAATCAAACGAACAAGACAAAAGCATAAAACTTATCTTATTAAAATTTTGTTTGCATGAAGCGCCTTCAGAATGGACTCCCAGAAGCGTATGGAAGAAATGACCAATCAAATAAAAGACAATACTCCATTAAAAAAAACCTTTATCATCACAAGCCCTCGACCAAGAACAAACAAAAAGTCAGGTCAACCAAGAAATTGAGGAACAAGCCAATATCATTCAAAGAATGCTATCAGCCGAGAAGAAAGCCATTGGTGATGTGAAGAAGTACTTTAGTGATTTCAGTCGTATTGAAAATCGCATTCATTCAATCAATCAGTCATGTGAAGATATCAGAATGGGTTTGGAAGAGTTTGAAGTGGCTATGAGTAATAACATACGGGGTTTAAAGATGAAACTATGTAAGCGTTATTGTTGTAGTCAATGAAAATGTTATCTATAACAGTAACTGGCAAAATTCATTTATCTTCTAGCGATAAAATTTACAATAAGAGACGATTTAAGGCACAATTTCCAATATTTTAGAAATACGTTCGTCATTAATCGTTGAGAAGTTTAGATAATATTTACAAAATGTAAATCGAGCGAAATGAACCGATTGGTTTCTATTTGAAAACTATGATTTCGATTTTAAATGATACCAATTTATAAACAATTTTGTATATATTTTTTCATATCAATATTGAGTTAAGCAAGCTTTGTACCATTCTTCGATAATGGTTGGCAGAATTTACATTCGAGTTCTTTTATACGGTGAATCAGCTGCCAATTTGTTAAAACATTATTCAAGTTGAGACTTCCACGTATTACTCCCGCTTTTTTGTCCTTAATATATATTAGCTAGCTTATTGTTGCTGCTAGAACCAAAAGTAGTTTTTCTTTGTGGTTAAATACATCTGTGTTGTATTGACGGAACAGGCATAACTTTCCATGCTTCGAAAATTTCGTTTAATGGAGGTTTTTGTTATCGACAATTTACTCATTTTTGGTAATTGATAAAATATAGGTCTAGATTTTTTTTCAATTCAATGACAAAATAATAAGAATGATATACATAAAATTTTATATAAATGAATGTAAGCTGTAGAAGCCAGGCATTTGTGGTGCTTTTAGCGCAACTGGTCTATACATATGCAAATCCATTTGTTCTTCAGATTCCGTAAAGAAATATGCCACCAAAGGTGAAAAAGGAGAGCCAGGTAAAGCCGGCTTAAAAGGACAAACAGGCGAAAGAGGACTGCAAGTAAGTCAGCACTGTTATTGAAATATTTAAAACAATATTTTGCATACATCACACTGGGCGTAACTTGCATGATCCAAATAAAAGCACTTTTAACAATATTAAGCACGAATTTTTGGTTTTAAAAGTTCAAATAGATTTTGATACATTTTCATTTTGACTAAAGATCGAAAAATTCTAAGATTTGTTTATTTGGCAATGATTTGGTTTATAAATAATTTATTTTTAGTTCGATTGTGAAGGAAGCTATAAGCTTATAGACAAACTTTCGAATCCGTTCCTGGAACCAACCAGTAGTGAGCAATGAGTGTAAAGTTTCTTGCTCAAGGAAACAACGACTTGACGTGCCCCTGACGGGGTTTGAACCCATGCGATTAGCGATCATTAAATTACTAGTTTGACGCGTTAACCACTCGGCCATGCTGCCACTTCATTCAAGGCAAAGAATTAACTGCACTACTAATGTTTCACATATATGCTCGCGTTCGGGCAATCTATCGTGTCATGTGTTAACCGTGTGTAGAGCAAGCCTGACTTCCAGGCGGTACAATAGGAAGAAAGGACGATAAAGGAGATCATGGAAAGTCTGAAAGTTTCTTGCTGAAAGATAAAAACCGTAAGAAGTCGAAGAGTTTACCAAGATGACAACTCCCGATATCATACTTTTGGAGTTAATGCCCCCTGTTGTTGTTTTTTTTTCATCCTGAATTTGAAACTTTTTTGTTCAGGCATAACCTTTCGGGGTTATTGCTCTTTGATGGGTTTATAACTGTCACTGTGCTGTACATGTTTATTCTTTTTATAACTTTTCTCCTCTTCTAGGGGGTTTTGGGAGTCTCTGGCTGATTCCTGCACTTCACAATATACATCCATGCGCATGTGCGTTATATAGTAAATCAAATTCACTATAACTATATCATGTTTTAGAAATAAGCAATTTGCAGGGTGAGTCAGGCCTGAATGGGCTCCCAGGTGAAAGTGGAAGGCGTGGTAGAAAAGGACCGAAGGGTGATAAAGGATATCCAGGTGAACCAGGAATTGATGGACTTCCAGGCATACATGGAGAGACTGTAAGTTTGATTTCTTGTGGTTTCAACATTCATGGGCAAAATATAAAACCTCCAATATATTCCTGTATAATTATACAGTTTTAGTGTGATAATAACATACTATTTTCTAGGTTGGGAATCACATGATACTAGTTTTATAAATAATAATTCAAGGGCCAACCTGGCTTAGATGGACTACCAGGTACAAAAGGGCAGATGGGTAGATTAGGACCGAAGGGCGATAAAGGAGATCGAGGTCTTCCAGGAATTGATGGAAATCCTGGTGTACCTGGAGAGTCTGTTAGTTTGGTTTCTTATCTTTTAAATATCCATGGTTTTAACATTCATGGGCAAAATATATAACCTACAATATATTTCTATACATACAGTTTAAGTTGGTTATTATATACCATTTTCAAGGTTGGGAATCACTTAATATTTGCGATGACGTGTTACCTAAAATAAGTATTTAAAAAGATTGCAGGGAGGGTCTTACATGAATTATCTTCCAGGTTTCGAGTGAACAGTCAGGTCCAAAATGGGCCAACAGAGTAGATGAAGATCTACAAAGAATCGATGGACATAGAAGTCATATGATTTTTAAAGGTGCTTTAACAGATTTTGAAATATTTTTCTCAAATAAAGAGAAAGTATAGAGGTGCATGAACACGTCATAAATTGAGAATAAACATCACTTACTGTTAAAACAATCGTCTTTTTTAAAAAATGGCACTATCTACAACAGTCAATTTTAGACTGCCTGGTTACTGACTGTTGAAGGGAGGCTGCACTGTATTTTCTTAGTTAAGAATGTTTCACATCTATGTCAAACTTTTGAAACTTGATACACTCAGATGAATAATAATTTTGCATTGATATGACATGTTTGGCCAAGTATGATATTTATTATCTGATAACAATATCATAGCCAATCATAGAAAAAAGAAAAGACAATTTTATAATTACCCCTTCAAGGTCAAGGACATTTAAACGTCAAGGTCAAATTTATGTTTTATCTTTATAAAAGTCATGTCCGAAAAGATGTCTTATTATAATCAGAGGACAACACATTCATAAATAACAAGTATACAGAAAGGTACAACAAAAATAGCAAAATTCAATATTATGACCCTGAAGGTCAAGGTCATTAATGAGTTAAGATCAAGGTTATTGTGGCGAACTTGAAGTAACATTCTAAAGGATTTTTTATTATCTTACTATGAAATTGATAAAAACAGAATCCTTAAAGAAAGCCCAACACGGCAAAATTGAAAATGTTGCAGGCTCGGTTTGATTGAGCCTGTTCATGGACGGTACTGGAAAGTGCAAGTTACCGTCCACGCCCCCTAGCACCGGCTTAAGCAGAATTCAACATTTAAACATGAAATAGTAAAATTATGAATTTAGAAACATCCGCAGATGTGTTCATACGGCGGTTATCATGGCACCTTCAATGTGACACTTCCGTGCCACATGAAGACAATTAAATTATTAACAATTAAGCTATAGCCACCTTGGTACATTTTTGGAATACTTTCTAAGATGAAAAGGGGCATAATTATGTCAAACTATCAGGGATATGAAACTATACATAGACAGTTACATTGTGACAGTGATTTGATCTTTTAAGTTTTAAGGTAATGGGATGGGACGGAGCCGAAAAGGACATAACAGGACTAAATAATCCTTTTATAGCCCCCATTTAGCGATAAAACAAAACTATGTTTAATGAGGTATAAATACGCTCACTGTTATATTACTTGTCCTAACAATCCGTAATGCTTAAAATATGCAAAGTCTCATAATCACAAGATGGTGTTAAATGAAGCAAATATTTGTTGTAAATTCGTATAAACTGAATGTGTTATAGGTGATGACAATAAACTATTTGCAGGGCATGCCTGGCCTGGTTGGTCTTCCAGGTGAGCCTGGAGAGCCTGGCACAAAAGGGCCAAAGGGAGGTAAAGGTGATCGAGGCTTACCAGGGATTGATGGACCTTCTGGAAAACCAGGAGAGTCTGTAAGTTTGGTTTCTTGTCGAAAGTATTTGTCAAAACATGCATGATCAAAACGAAAGAACCTGATTTTTTCCTTTATTAACATTTTTTCGTCCATTTTTCCTTTATTATCATTTTTCATCACCAGGACTTGAAATCACTTGACTTTTGTGTTAAAGCGTACCTAAAAATATCGAGACTCTACAGATTTTGAGGTCGTTTATTGAAAGAGTTATAAGAATAAGTGGAAAATTCATGCAACACAGTACAGAGTTAATACAAATACGCTCTCTGTTAAATAAATTGTCAATCTTAATCCATGTGACAGTCTCATATTCATAAGTTGGTGTAAAACGAAGCAAACATTCTTTTATCTGTTCGGCTCATGGAAATTCTGTCAGTGTGAGGAAATATGCTTATTGATGCTTTTTTGTTTACCTACAGTAGATATAGATCTATCAGGAATCGAAAGACATAGAAGTCGTATGCTTCTCAAAAGTGCTTCAACATATTTTGAAATATATTTCTCAAATAAAGAGTAAGTGTAGAGGTGCATGAACACATCATCAATTCAATGTAAACATCACTTACTGTTAAATCAATCGTCTTTTTAAAAATGGCACTACAAAGATAACAATTGCAGGGCCTGCCTGGCTTATATGGACTTCCAGGTATAAAAGGACAGATGGGTACATTAGGACCGAAGGGCGATAATCTGTACCTGGAGAGTCTATAAGTTTGGTTTCTTGTCGTTTAAACAACCATGGACAAAATATAAAAATCGACACTTTTTCCTGTATCAATAGTTTTAGTTTGATTATTATTTAGAATTTTCAAGGTTGGAGATCACTTAATATTTGCGACAACGCGTTACTTTAAATAAGTTAGAAAATGCAGGGAGGGCCTAACATGGTTGTTTTCCAGGTTCAAAATGGGCCAATTTTAAGAGAAGATAAAGACCTACCAAGGGTCAACGGACGCTCAAACCCTATTTATTTTAAAAGAAATTAAAAAAAATTATTGATTTTATATGAATTACGGTATTTATTATCATTCTTAAGACTGGTGATGATTAGATATTTTTGAAATTTGTAGCATAAAAATCATGTGATTCTCAAACAGTCTTCAAGAGATATTGAACTCCTTTTTCTCAAATAAGAGAAAGTGTAGAGGTGCATAAACACCATAAATTGAATGTAAACACTGCTTACTGCTAAACAATCGCCCTTTTCAAATTAGCAATACTTAAAATGTACTTTGTACACCTTACATAATTATATACATGCAAAATCGCTGGGTAATCTGATCTTTAAACTTTACAATATGCCAGAAATAACAATTGCAGGGCCTGCCTAGTTTAGAGGTGCATGAACCTCATGAATTGAATGTTAACATTACTTACTGCTTAAATGATCGCCCTTTTCAATTTGGCAATACTTAAATTATACTTTGTATATCTTACATAATTTTATACATGCAAAAACGCTGGATAATCTGATCTTTAAACTTTACAATATGTCAGAAATAACAATTGTAGGGCTATCCTGGCTTAGATGGACTACCAGGTATTAAAGGACAGATGGGTCCATTTGGACCGAAGGGCGACAAAGGAGATCGAGGTCTTCCAGGAATTGATGGAAATCCTGGTGAACCTGGAGAGTCTGTAAGTTTGGTTTCTTGTCGAGTGTTTTGCCAATTATATGCAGGATGAAAAAGTACGAAGTCGATGTTTTGCTTTACATACAGTTTCATTCCACTATGATTTTTTATGATCAGGGCTTGGAATCACTTGACTTTTGTGGTAACGCGTTTTTAGCTCGACTTTTTTTTTTTGAAAAAAAAAGGAGAGGTATTGTTATAGTCAGGTCGGCGTTGCCGTTGCCGTTGCCGTTGCCGTCTCCGTTGCCGTTGCCGTTGCCGTCCGAAAACTTGTACCTGGATCATAACTTTTTATTTTCTTGGTGTATTGTCTTCATACCTTGCTACAACAACCCTTGGAACAAGACCTTTCAGTAGACTACACTAACCTTGACCTTCATCCATAAATGACCTTGACCTTCAAGGTTAAAAGTCCAATTTTTGCTTGTTCATGCTGTTATTGGCTGTTACTTTGTTATTTTTGGATGGATTGTCTTCAAACTTGAACATAATAATCTTCAAGGATATCCCTTAAAAATAACCAGTCAGACCTTGACATTCACTCATCAATGACCTTGACTTTGAAGGTCAAATTATTTAAATTTTCATTTTTTTGGCTTTTATTGGCTGTAACTTTGTTATTTTTGAATGGATTGTCTTCAAACTTGAACATAATAATCTTCAAAAATAACTGTTCAAAATATACCGAAAGACCTTGACCTTCACTCATTAATGACATTGCCTTTGAAGGTCAAATTATTGAAATTTTCATTGTTTTGGCAGTAACTGACTGTAACTTTGCTATTTTTGAAGGGATAAACTTCATATTATAACAGAACATTCTTAAGGACCAGACCTTGTTGTTTATCAAACCCAAATTTGCTTGGGCTCTTTAATGACCTTGACCTTGAAGGTTATATTACTGAATTTTCTCAGATTGTGCATTTATCGGTGTGTGTGTATGTATAGTATATGTATTATATATAAATATATATATAAATGTGTGTGTGTATATATATACATATATGCAGGTATATATATATATATATATATATATATATATATATATATATATATATATATATATATATATATATATATAAATATATATATATATATGCATGTATATAATTGCGTCATGTTTTTCTATTTTTAGAAATTGCGTCATTGTTGCTATTTTTAGAATTTGCGTCATTTTTTTCTATTTTTAGAAATTGCGTCATTGTTGCTATTTTTAGAAATTGCGTCATTTTTTTCTATTTTTAGAAATTTCGTCATTTTTTTTCTATTTTCAGAAATTGCGTCATGTTTTTCTATTTTTAGAAATTGCTTCATTTTTTTCTATTTTTAGAAATTGCGTCATGTTTTTCTATTTTTAGAAATTGCGTCATTTTTTCTATTTTAAGAAATTGCGTCATGTTTTTCTATTTTTAGAAATTGCGTCATTGTTGCTATTTTTAGAATTTGCGTCATTTTTTCCTATTTTTAGAAATTGTGTCATTTTTCTATTTTTAGAAATTGTGTCATTGTTGCTATTTTTAGAAATTGCGTCAGTCATTTTTGTTCTATTTTTAGAAATTGCGTCATTTTTTTCTATTTTTAGAAATTGCGTCATTTTTTTCTATTTTTAGAAATTGCGTCATTGTTGTTATTTTTAGTAATTGCGTCATTTTTTTCTATTTTTTGAAATTGCGTCATTGTTTCTATTTTTAGAAATTGCGTCATTTTTTTTCTATTTTTAGAAATTGCGTCATTGTTTCTATTTTTAGAAATTGCGTCATTTTTTTCTATTTTTAGAAATTGCGTCATTTTTTCTATTTTTAGAAATTGCGTCATTGTTGCTATTTTTAGAAATTGCGTCATTGTTGCTATTTTTAGAAATTGCGTACTGTTGCTATTTTTAGAAATATGCTTAATGTTTCTATTCATATATATACAAAATATATAAACAAAACTAATGTGACAAGACAGACCAACTAAATTTATAAAAAGGAAACATCAATATATGTTCAAACCTTTCTATGTTTGCGTTTAGAAAAAGTAAAAAGTCGAGCGTTGCCCCTGCCCGGCGGTGGCTCTTGTTTAAAGTGATATGATTCACAGCGATGTTTCTACAGATTTTGAAGTCAATTATTTTACATATAACGAATTATTAAAAATGCATGGAAATTCAGCATACAGTTAACCAGAACTATCGCTGAATGCGATTCATACTCTCACAAATGTGCATGCTGGAGTGAAAATAGTATGGAATGTTGGGAAAGGTATTTAGACTTTTTATAGATACAATGTTACTATGGAAAGTTGGGATGGTTTTAATACCAGCAAGGGATTTCAGTTACATTTGATCTTGTGTAAATTGCATGATCATATATGAAAGTCAAAGGCTTTAAACTTCTTTCCTTTATTTTAAAGTAAATGTGGTCCAGAAAGCCTACAGATCGAAGACTGTTATTTGTAACATACTGCATTTTTTTGTGTAATTTGTGATGTATTTGATTTTAAAATATCCATCGAGTAAGGTTGGACAGAGAATACAGAGAGAAGTCCAATTATGTTGTAAATGCCTTGATTGGAGTCAGTAAACTGTTCTAAATATTTATGATGAGAAGTCTGTGCTCAGAGATTCTGTGTTCTTTCAAAATTGCAAGGTTGTTAAAAGCTGTGGTTTTTACAAAAAAATTAGTGGGCAATATGAAAAATCGTATGCAGTCACCTATTTTATTATGCTTATAGATTTTTTTTGTTTACCTTTAATGACAAAATATTATCAAGCACATGTTGTTCAGCAAGCGACTTGTTAAGATTTTAAATTAAATGCTTTGCATATAAAATATTTCTTGCAAAACAAAAATTCCAAACTGCGATGGCATTTGTATACTTATTTTCAGTAATAATTAAGTTGATATTAATTTCAATGACATTTTCCATATGAATTTAAATCTTACTCATATGGGTTATATCCTCTTCAAATTGAAATTATCGATTTTTTGTCATTGTATTGTATTTTATTTTTTGTATTGTCTGTACTTACACTGTACTGCTCATATTCCTATAATACAAACAACGTGCGTAATAAATAATCATTTTGAATACTTAATAAGTTATAGAAAATAAACCATTTGCAGGGCTTGCCTGGACTGACAGGGCTTCCAGGTATAAAAGGACTAAGGGGTCCAGTAGGACCGAAAGGCGATAAAGGAGATAAAGGTCTCCAAGGAATTGATGGGCATCCTGGAAGATCAGGAAAGTCTGTAGGTTTTGTTTCTTATCATCACAAACATGCATAGTCAACATGTAAAAAAAATGTTTATATATATAATTTTATACCGTATATGTATTTCTATTCATTGATATTTTATCGTTTTCATAGCTTAAAAGTTATTTGACTTTTGCGATTGCTAGGTGTGCCTCTACGAATTATGAAAGTCTTTAATCCAAATTATCAGAACGTGTACAAATGCATGAAAAATTATATAAATATCACTTTCTGACAAATTCATTGTATTTTAAAATAAGTAATGATTTATTAAAAATACGCACTTTTTCGTCTTTACAAATGGACGTTACCAGCAACTCTTTCACTTTTATAATTTACCATATTTGCAGAAATAATCAGGAATAACCGGATCTGCCACGTGAAGATGGGGAACGCCCTTGTTAATAGGATTGACACGAGATCCGCCTGAATCTGCTTGGATGGAAAATACAGGAATATAATTATTCCAAAAAGTTTAGCGATAATGTGTACAAGTGATTTGGTGTGAGATCCTGTCGTATTCTTTTCATCAAGGTGCTTGGCTCACATGTTGTACGAAACATTTTGTTTGTAGATATATTTCCAGTTCCATGTTAGCTTTGTTTTGTTAACGCTTCAGTCTATTCTACGTAAGCATTTCCTTTCCTTGTGGGTGAAATTCAGCATAAAATTCAAACAGTTATTCTGATGCAAGAAAACATAAAGCAGCAAAATGCATTCAACCATGTAAATAATCATTGTATGCTCGTTTTATTTTAAATAAATAAAATCCACAGTTTAAGATTATGAAACAGGTCTTAATATAAAAAGTTATGTAACTTAATATATGATTTCACGAGAAAAAAGTTGATTTTATGAAATTATGTAACAATGGACAGGATATTTTTTATTTCTTTTTCTTCAAAAAAAGGGGGGAAATGTCAACGATTTTAAAGAAAGTGAAACTTGTGGATCATACAGAGATGATATTGAATTAATGTAGGTTTAATATAAGATTTATTGAATGAGTTGAACAAAATCATATTATGCAAGCCTCTGTTTAATAAATTCTCGAGTTTAATACATTTAAATCTACAGGAATATGATATTCTATTTATTATATATTCCAAATAAAAACTGTTAACAGTAAAAAAGAGTAATTTTTCATGGACGCACCTGTACAATCTCCTACGCAGTGATCTCCCCTTATCAGTACAGTTCTGCTAAGGGTAATCACTGTGAGGAGTTTGGAGCCTATAGTGTAACACTATCAATGGCGAGCATTAAAGTTATCTTTGTATAAAACGTAAATGACATCACGTTAGTATAATTGCAATGACCAATATGATCTAAATCTTGGTGAATAACCATATCAAACTCTCCTATAACGCCATGATCGCTCTAATTCATGCTTAAACAATTAGCACTAAATGTATTTTACTTTTTGAGATTCGTTATATGTTAGTCAATATGTTTTATGGTCTTTATTATTGGCGGTAAATAGCTTATTAGCTAATGTGTTATAATCTGAAAATAAAAATTGACATATAATAAAGCTTATTGTATCATGTTTTTTGTAAATGAGCTTGTACATGTATCCCGAGATTTAACTCATTTTGAACACCTTTAATGCTTATCCGTTATTATGTTCGGCACATTTTTTTTATCAATTTCTTACCAGTTATAACTTGACATTTTGCCATAATTGTGTTCAATATTATATTTTACTTAGAAAAATTAAGCAATAATTCACACGCCCATTTCCTATAAATATCGTTGAGAATGTAACGGTGACGCTCAAATCTTAAAAAAAGAGTGCATTGGTAGTCTTTTTTATAATTTTCTTGGCGGTTGTATTGTATCACACACATTGTTCATGAAAATTAGCACGAATATAGTGGCATGCTGCTTTGAAAATATGTATGTGTATAAACGTAAATATTTACATTCGGAAATAAAAACAATCCCTTTATAAATAATAATGATCTGATGATACTTTTAGACGTTAATTTATAGACAGTGATACACATAAACAATGCTACACATAGACAATGCTTGACATCAAATATCTATACTCTATCCCTTGCAAAGGTTTTGAACTCTTTAAGACATACTTTCTGTAAACGGTATTTTCTTCTCTAAACAATCTCAAGGTTTCTGTTCTGATCATAAAAAGTACAGCGTTCCGGATATTAAAAGCACATTAAAAGTGGTCATTTGTTTTTTACCACCCATCCAAAAATCATGTGGGATAAGTAATTGGCCACATGCGGAAAAATTGATAGTTATTGGTTAGTTAACCAAGAAAGCCGTTTAGCTGATTGACAGCCGGGATATGAGCAAGATTTGTTAAAATTGGCAAAACAACTCTGACACACAAACAAACACACAAACAAACAAAACACGAAATGCACATGATATACAAATCCATGGGTTTAATCGTGTATTAATGATGCGGCGATATTTATTTTCACATTTTGTCATAGAGCTATTATTTTGCATTAAATCAACACGAATGGCTTATTTATTCTATAGACATGGTGACATGGCAAATTTCTACTATTGATTTCTTCATATTGCACAAAGATATCCGTGCGTACAAACGGTATACATAGACAATCATAAATATAGAAGATATTTTTGTCCGTTGCTGCGTAGTGGGGAGGGAATTAAACTAGAAGCCATCGTCTGCCAGTCAATCCGTTCGTAACATTGTTGTGGCCACTCAATAACTTTGTAACTTTAAAGTTTAATAGAATAATTTGGCAGAAATGATCATTATTATGAGATGATGTGTAGAACTCTTCCCCCAAGGTCAAGTTCACTCTTAAAGGTAAAATGTAAAAGATATCAGAAGCATAAGAAAAATTATTACAAAAAAATATTTGTAAGATTTCATCAAGCACTTTTCATAAAAGCTTTACAAAAAAAAACATCCATCAAAATCCAGAGTATTCTTAAGATGACAAACGCTTCCATAAATATTTTTTTAAAACTTCAATCGCAATGGTATCAATTGCTTAACTGACGAGAGTGATGCTATAAATCAAACATAGAAATATTTGTCTGAATTTATGTTGTTGTAGAATATTCTGGCATTTTTATATTTAAACTGAAAATAGGATTCGTTTCGGGATTAACTAGTCTTTTGTAAGAACGTACACGCGCATGATTTTTTGAATTTTAATAATAGGATGCTTGCATATTGATATAATACATTAAATGTGTCAAAAATCCAATGAAAATAAACAGGAGGTATAGATATTGACATACATTTTAAAGTATTTTATAACGTACTTAAACAAATTTTATCAGAAGCATTTTCTTACAATACGACTCCTTTTTCAATTTAAGAAAAGAGGAATATAGTTTATTAAAATATGACATTTTCATACTTACACAATAGCAGTATACCTTCAACCAAATAAAACGGCTTCGGAACCGTCGATTGTATGTGAAAAATGAAGCAGAAATGTTAGATTATCATTAACCAAATAGCTGACAAGTATCATCTTAATTCGTCGAATAATGTTATTGCGTTAGTGTTGAATGTCGTTATAAGCAGGGTGGACACTGATTATGCTGTGGGTAACAAAAGGAGCAAGTTGTAAATAACACGACGGCATAATTTGTCAGATTATCATAAACCGTTATCAGAACCTTTCACTCAAAACTTACAGACACTACATGTACGTCCCCTGATATTGTACTTGTGTTTAATTCTTTAAACAAATCAATAAAAGTATAACTATTCTAGGTGGTATTTTCTAAAAATAAATACTTTTCCTTTCAAAATTAAGTCTAGTACTTTTGCTTCCTAGTTTCAGTAATGAGTAACATCTCAAAAAGGTCATGTAAAATGGTATCAACGAAACGAACTGAATACATAAAAGGACATTTTCTCATATCAATGTGTTATTGATGCTTGACAAAGTGCTTACAAAATCAGAAAATCTCTGAGACATTATTTTCATATCTTTTCCTTGCTGAACAAGCTTTATCGTTCGTTCGGACATAAATAGGACAGGGTTTTGAATAACAAATAGGCTCCGATCTTCGTAGCAGGTTAAGTGATTTATGTATCCAGCCCAGAATGTTGTCGATGCTGAGAAATGAAGGCAATTTAACGATTAAAACATTGATACATGGAACCAGGATGGTGCCTGTATCGTAAATTTAGGAATTCAGTGATAAACCATTCTTAGAACAAGTTCTTTGGTCGCCTATACATATACATGTATATATACATGTATATATAGTTCCTCTATATATTCGATATGTTCCTCCTTTGATATTTAAGAAAATAACAAACGAAAATAGGTTTTATCTTTCAACTTAAAATTTGCAGACAATATAGCTAGTTTTGTTTCCATGTATATACATGTATTATAATCCAGTACTACGCAAATTTCGTTAAAATCATACCATCTATACAAGTTAATGACCTTTTAACTCTCGATATATATTAAGTATTTGCCTAAAATATACTGAATTTAGTAAAAAAATCTTAATGAAGAACATTAGCGTAAAACTCTTTATAATAACCTTAAAGATTTTGTACTAAAATATGTCATACTATTTTAGAGCAAATACATTGTCATTACGTTTGCCACCTTCCGATGGTCTCGTGAGACTGGAGGTTGTTCTGGGCTGCGTTACGTGAACGTCTCTCCCCTTCCCTGTTCATATTTTGTATTCATATTTTGTCATCCAAATTCTTTGAATACGTAAATCACAATGGTATCAGTGTGAAGATGACCGCAATGATGTCATAAATAAAACATAGAAAGATTAGAGAGGATTTATTTATTATATGTTGTATCATAGTCTTAGGACCTTTCTGTTGAAAATGTGTCAGAGTTAAATCGTATACATATACATGCACAGTGGGTTAACTGGGGTGCAGGTATTAGTTACCCGCACTCCAGAGCATGGTCATTGATTGGCTCATTCTTGCTGGGGTTTACTTATTGAGACGGCAGAGAAAAGGAAAGCGACAGAAATATCATACTCAGA